TAGTATTATAATATTATTAGTATTAATAATAATATTGTATTATTTTATTAAGTTATTTTATTAATTGAGATTAGATTTAATAAAGAAAATAGAATGTGAAGGGGTGGGGAGAGTGGTACGATACATTTTAGAAATTGAGAAAAAGGGCGATAGAAAAGAGAGAAGAGAAAAGGACGAAAGAAAGGAAAAAGAGCGAAGGAAAAAGGGAACGAAGAACGGAAGAGAAAAGGGGAAGGCCAAGAGACCAATTCTAGGAGGATTTCTATCGATCAACCAATTGATAAGGTAAGGGGGAGAAATTTGATTGGGAATGGTTTATACATGTATAGGGTAGAGGGGATTCCTTAACCCCGTAGGAATTTATCGTTATATAAAGTTTTATATTGGCATGCTATGATTATTGTTGATGTTGGGGGATTGATGAATGCTGATGATGCATTTTGGTATATATATATATATATATATATATATATATATATATATATATATATATATATATATATATATATATATATATATATATATATATATATATATATATATATATATATATATATATATATATATATATATATATATATATATATATATATATATATATATATATATATATATATATATATATATATATATATATATATATATATATATATATATATATATATATATATATATATATATATATATATATATATATATATATATATATATATATATATATATATATATATATATATATATATATGGTGATGATAGTAACTGTAATGTTGATCCATTTTGTTGGATTGTTGATGTTACTGTAGTATTGATCCATTTTGTTGGATTGTTGATGTTACTGTAGTGTTGATAGTAACTAGGAATATAAAGCTGATGAGATTCTGTGTTGTTACCGTAGTGTTGGCAATGACCATGATTATAGCTTTGGGAAAGTTATGTGTTGTTTCCTTATAGTCTTGTTAACGACTATGGTTAGGACCTTGGTGAGATTCAGAGTGACTCTGAAGTGTCGGTAATGTACCATAATGTCGGTTCTAGAGTAGAAATTATAGGATAATTGGTAAGTATAATATCTATTGGCATGTTTGTGATTGTGGATTGATGTTGATGAATTGTTGATTTTGGTGTATAGGCTGAGGTGTTGGTTTAGGGAGGTTCTGAGTAACCTCAGAGACTTTTGGTGAGATGTCTGAATTGGTCTCGTGTGATCCTTCTAGCCTTGCTGTAGTGTGAAAATGATGAGTATGGGATATAACTTGTGTACTTGGTGATAGTACGCGTTTCCCTTAATATTGTTGGTGAGCAATTAGTTAATGTATATGTGTGTAGTGATCAGTAGGATCGTGTATCCCCGAGTGGGGGGACGTAGTTATATCCGGTGTGATAGTATGAATTCGTTTACTATCTGATTGATTTATATGGTGTTGGTGTAATATATTTATACATATGATGATATGATCAGGAGGATCGTGTGCACTTAGCGTGCCAGAATATAATAATTATGCATTGGTGTCTTGCATATCTTGGTGTTTTGGTGGGATGAATCATGTCTCAGGAGGAGCGTAAGTGATTCATCCGTACTCCTTTGTGGAGAATGGTGGGGGATAGATCATGTCTCAGGAGGAGCGTAAGTGATCTATCCAGGTTCGATTGAATGAACCAACGAGTCGGTACCGCATGCATGGTGTTGTGTTGCATAATTGCATTATAATATGTTATATTGTAATTTGAACAGTAGGTTCGTTATATGGTATTGTTGGGGGTGAATAATTGATGTGATGGTGTGTTTTACTGCCTTATTTACATGTATTACATTACCATTATATTTTTGATCATGATTTCTCACCCCTTTGTTGTTGTTGTTGTGGTCTGTGCTTCTTCGGAAGTACAGATAATCCAGGTACTTAGCTAGCTTGGATTATGGTGTGACAGTCGAGTCTAGGATGCTCTGATACGTAGCACGGGACTTGGGCGTTTTTATTTACTTTATGAAGAACTTATATTTTATTTTCCTGTGAAACGTATCAAACCTTTATTGGATTTTATTATTTAATATTCCGCTGTATTGGAGAAAACCCTTTTTATAAGGAAACGTTGTTTTCATGTGATATCCCACTTGGGAAATTGGAACTCTGATTTTGTTTATTTATAATGTTTATTAATTTAATTGATTTTGGGAAGTGGGGTGTTACAGGGAACACTACTTCCCAATGAGAGTCAATCATAGTGTTTGTATGTGTCTTTTTTGTTAGGTGTTTTTCTTTATGCTTTTATTTGTTTTATTTACTGCTTTTATTGCATTCTCTTCAATTTATTTGAATACCGTTGTCATATTATTCTCTTGCTATTGTGTTGTTAGGGGGATAGTTCCATGAGAAATAAACCCATTACCCATGCTTGAGTGCACACATAGGATTATAGCGAGCTCTTGTTGACTTGTGTGGCGTTTGACACGTATTGTTGACTTGAGTTTGCATTCAGACGAGGTTTTCTTGGGAGATGCTATGTCTTGTATGTTTATACAATAGCCAGGGTGTTCATTTGGGAGCTTAAGACTCTGGAGACCATTCATGAGAAATCCGTTGAGGCCTCCTCAATTGATGATGATGCCAAACCAGAAATGGTGAATGTATCATCATTTCTCGACCTGAGAGCCCATGATACTTAGGACCTCCTAGGTTGCTTTTTCCAAGGCTAGAACCCGCATGTGAGAGGGGATGGTTTTTTGTAGAAAACCTTGACCTTCAACCTACTCGGTCTTCTGATTTTCTTATGGACTTCTGAACCTGATATTTTGGATTTCTATTATGGCATTCTGGACTTCTGGTACTATGGCATTATGGTGTTATGGCATTTTGGACTTCTGGTATTATGGTATTATGGCATTCTGGTATTCTGGTATTCTCGTCGAAGTAGAATGTTGAACTTATTCTGTCAATATCATAACAGTTATTCAGAATATGTGGCAACCTTAATCCCGTGTCTTTGCATTTGCATCGCATCATAGCTCCATCCTAGCATTCTAGTCTATTTATTTTCGGAGTTTGTATCTTATCCTTGATTCTAATTGTTGAAGATCTGCAGAGATGGATACTGGTAGGAACGATACTGTCAGCTACAAAAAAAATTAATTTGTAGTCTTTCATACCATCGTAGAATATAAAAGGATAGCTATTCATACATTACCACAATTCTATGATCCTTCTTTGAGAAATTCCCGCTTATATTGGATATCCCAGTCAGGAACCAGGGACCTTTTCATGAATCTATGAAAGTTCCTGCTCCTGAAGCTATTGTCGATGCTCTTTATTTGAGCACGTCTGTTGTAAAAGCCAATCTTCGAGACAATGGAGGTTTACCCGATTTTTTCTTAGTTCTTTGCTATTATATAATTATGTTTTCCAGTGTTCTATCCATCTCCTGTGTTTATATTGTAAAATCACACTACTCGTGTAATTTATCAATCATTCAATACATTGCTAGTTTGTACATTTTAATTATATTTGTGTATTAATCTTAATTGTGTTATTTATTGCTTAAGTCGTTACATACCAATTCCAATCGATAAGCATAATCTCTTTTACGTTAAAATTTACTTCCGTCACACAAAATCATTTTTATTTTAGAAATTTTGATAAAAAAAAGTTCAAATTATTTTTCAAAATAATTTTATTTAAGAGATCTATTCATCCCCTCTAGACTGTTTATTGTCCACGTTCTCACCCAACATTGTCTATAGAAGAAGAAGACATCATCTACCCTCTAGAAGAAAGGGAATGTTCATCTATACCCAAAAAAAAAAATGAGCATTAACCCTCAAGAAGAAAGGAAATAATCATCTATACAAGAATGCAAATAATGATCAATCATGCCAGAGTTAACAAGATTAACTTAAATGCTCATTTGCACAAAATAAAAGAAGTGATCATCTACCCTCAAAAGAAAGAAAATGATCATATGTGCTCAAATCAACAGCTAATGTAACAATCTACACTTCATGAAAAAGATCATATGTACCCAGATAAACATAGACATCTATGCTCAATGCTAGCAACCAGTATACTTTAATGAAGAACATATCACCGCACTTCATTTATGAAGACCTGTTATGCGATGTCATCCATAGAGAATGTTCTCAACGGACACATCATAATTGGTGTCTTAATACAAAGAATAAAATAATAAAGATCCGTACAAGGAATAAATGGATAATAATTTCTAATAGATAATACAACTCCAATAACTCATTTTCTAATAAACAAATAATTTAAAATATTCAATCTTATATATAAAGGACAACCTAAAACACTAAATTATAATGACACAAGTTTATTAAATCATCTTCAAGAGTAAGAGATCCAGATGGAGAGAAGAGTTTGGTTAGAAAAAATTAAAAACACTCTTATCAGATAAACCCACAGATGTCATATTGATATAAAGTGAAAATGAACCAACCTAATTTATCATAGCAATCCAATCCAACAACCACCATGGCTTTCTGTCGGTAACTATATTTCTATTTAATTTTGTCATTATTTTTCAAACATCACTATTCCACCTATTGGCAAACTAAGAGTCAACTACCTAATAGCCCTTGAATAAAATAACAAATTTTTAATATACCGCAATTTTTATTGCAAAGAGGATTACTATACCGCAATTTCCGTAAACCGACATGTGATATGTTAACAAAGTCTCTATATTTTGTGGTCCATATTTTAAGATCAAATTAACAAATCATACACAAAAGGATAAGAATAAAACCAATAAAAAAAACAACGATAAAATTTTATTATTTTATTCAAAGTTACATATGGTTATTAAGAGAAAACCTGAATTAAATCATCTCAAAAGATCAACACAAATACAGAAAATTACAACAACAAAACAACCTCATCATAAACAAGAATCTAACTCTAATAAAAAAAAAAAGAAATATTATTGTTTGGTAACAAAGGTAAGAGTTTTTGATAATATTGAAAATACTATTGAAAATATGAAATCTACCTTGTGTTGTTGCATAGCAAACAATTCAAAACCCTAGACCAAGCTATCCTTAAACGAGGATAAATTCTGTTGCTATATGATGTTGATTCTCTCATGACAGATTCCATGGTTTCCACAAAGAGATTCAAGCTTCTGATTGGTGGAATATAGAGAGTCAAAGGAACAACAGAGAAAGCCACCGTGAAGAACAATTGAAGCATTTTTGTATGATAGAAGTAGATATGAATTTGAGTTGTTTATCATAAATTGAATCCTTTATGATAAAAGGGTGTTTGGGTTTAGAAAGTTGAGGAAAGAGAAAGAAGGTTTTTGTGAGATATAAATAAAGGACATTTAGGAGACAAAATTGGTTGAGGAAAAACAAACTTATTGACAAGTAACGTGTTCTAGATATTTGAAGAAGAAATATAAAAATACTTTTTTTTTAATTAATAAAAAGATGTAATAATGATTAGAGTTTTGGTTTAAATTCCTTTTTATTCTCTTAGGATATCCTCAGTTTATTTTAATCTATTAATTTATTCGTTTAATTCTTCAAAGTATATTATATTACTATTTTTTTAACTAATGACAAATTTAATGATTAAATTGTAATTTTTTTTGTCATTAATTAAATAAAAAAATTAATATAATACGTTTTGAAGAGTTAAAGAATTAATGTGATTTTTTTTTTTAAATTAAGAGATCAAAATTGTTATGAATTGATGTCGTCAAAACAAACTAAAATAAGAGAAAAAGATTTGAGTTTCTTAAACAAACACGAGAAACCCTATTAAATATTAGAAAAGATAGAGAAGAAAGAAGAAGAATAAGAATAAGAATGGGTTAAAACTGTTTTACTATTCACTTTCTCAATAATAGTTCAAAGTTTACAAGTGAATACTAACAATTAACCTCTTTTAACAACCTGAGAGAACTAGTCCAGTTATAAACTACTAAGATAACTTAGACTACAAGCTAACTTAATAATTGGGCTTACAAGCAAGCCTCAACTCGATATGCTAAATTAAATACAAAGCTAACATATTTCGACAACATGTTTGAACAGACTTCGACTCTAGCATGCACAACTCCTGTCGAACCATGAAACTACCCTTATCGACACTAGAGTTCGCTCCACCTTGGAACAAACTCTACACTAACAAGGGAACAAACTGTAAGTAGAGTATTCACCTAAGAGGGGGTGTTTACCATGAAAATTAGTAAACAACCGCTAGTCTTCCAAAATGTTGGTTTACTTGTATGATCAACCAGTGAATCCTGAGGACATATCTATTGTATTAATGTATTTTTGAAAAATTTATGAACACTTCGACATCATTCATTAGTGTAAAAGATTGTTTTGATTGTTTGTTGAAAAGGTTAAATTTTGTAAAAGGTTAAACTTTGTAAAAGTTTATAAAAGAAATGCAATGAAGAAAATAACTCCAAAGTAAAAGAAACACATTAAAGAGCAATTGATAAAAGAAAGTAAATTCTTTTCAATAAAATGAATGGTGTTTCAAACGCGCATTTCTCAACAGTAACTCTTTTCTCACTTTAATTTGGATACTTTGAGTAAATTTTGAGTATAGTACAACAATTGAACACATAGAAATCCTAATACTAAGACTTATATTTATAATACGTCAAAATAACTGTCTCCAACAGGCATTTCTCCAAAAGTTGACACGTTTCTCCCTGCATGTCTTCGTTTCTCCATAGTTCTCCACACGTCTCTCTTAAGAAACGGATAAGGACAAAAGACAGTTATCTATCCGTATTTTATTCAAATCTCTGTCGAAGGAAGGCTCCAAATCATCCCTTCGTCGAAGTGACCTTCTACACTTAGAAAATGTTTCTAAGTTTTTGTCCAAGCATGTCTCCTTATGAGAACCACTTCGACAGAACTTTACATTAACTTCTGTCAAAGTCAACCATATTTAAGAAACTTCTAATTTTCCTTAGTTTCTCAAATGGGAACATGGTGTCAAAATTCCCAGCCAACAAATTGCCCCCCAAAAATATCATTTTCGACTAAGTGGAGAAAAAGACATTTTTTGAAGTTTTTCCATATTCGACGCCAGAAACCTTTTGACTGTTATGACGTCATTGTCATCATGACAACTTTGCCCAAATGTCTCCTCAAACCCATGTGTGAATCTTTTCAATCATCACACGTCTACTCCCTAGGAGATCATAGATCAGACTTTTAACTGCTACAGTCTCATCACACAATCCTCACTTAACACGCGTCACATGATTCTTCTCACCATTAATGTTGCATAATGATTCTTCTCACATGACACGGCCCTTTGGCTTTCGTGCTGTGTTTTCTGCTCAAGGTCCCTTCAAGTGGCGAACCTGACCATGGCCAACCAACTGCATGTTGGACATGATATTTGTCTCAGCAAAATAATTTTGGCCAACCTGTACGAATCCCTTGGCGAAGGCGTCACAACATTGAAGACAATCAAGACAAGAGGAAGCTTGCTTCTTTCTGGACCTTTCTGGATGCTACAACTATGGCTGAATGCCACTTTTGAAGCATCTTTTCCTGCTCGAAATCCCATTAACGAAGTATCCGTCGAAGTGAAAAATATAAGGGTCGAAGGGACGAGGCTTGCCCTGTTGACTCCTAGTGACGAAGATAGTACACCTTCACCAACTAAGTGATAATGTTTGCAAAGTCTTATAATTTTTCTCTCAACATGGCTCATTTTGCCAATAGAAAATCCGGCCCTGAATGGTTCACCAGGAAGTTTCCTCCTATGTTGAAGGAACAGGAAGCTGAAACTTTTGACATTTGAGAATCTTTCCTTACGCTAAGATTACTGGCTTCAAGGCTCAACCCTTCAAAGCTTCGAATTTCTCTTGTCAGTTACCAACCAAATCTCGTCTCTCGATAGTTTGGTCTGTGGGGGCAAAGCCTCGTATATAGATGTGCTCGTTTCGATGATGTCAAAACTCAACTCCATAGAAAAATGTATGTTGGACGTTGTCACCATGTCATATTTGCATGTTTTGTCTCTCATAAGTCAAACACTCGTCAAAAACATGATTGTCGCATAGAGATGGTCAAATCTATGTTTCATATAGGGTTGGCTTAGTTGGTTTTGCTTGCCATACTATAGGTTTCATTAAAAGAGTCTTAATGCATGAAAATTGGCATTTTGCCTACTTCAGGGCTTTGAGTCGACCCAAAGCCTGCTCTAGTCGACTCATATAACTAGTCATTGTAATGAATTACTCTCAGGAGGGCTCGCATCGACCCTCCGGTCGACTCATACTGTGACCATTTTTATTTGGCTAAATTTGCATGTTGTGCATCGACGCATGTAATGCTCTGGTCGATACATGGTCCTGATTTTTGCATAATCATGTATGCGGGTAAGCTCAGGTCGACCCCTTTACTGCATAGGTCGACCGCTCGCTATTTTGTGTCAAAATTCTATTATGTCAAACTATTTTGTGAGTCTGTTTTGTTTGCTAAGTCAGTTATGTTTTGTATATAAGTTAACTTGTACTTTCCTTTCACAAAAACTACGAAAACAAGAAAAGTGAAATTTATGTGTTGATTTGGTTCTCATCATCTTCATTCTCTTCATAGCATTTCACAACAACTACACATAATCATTTTTGTTGTGCATTGTGCATGTTCGAGGTGATAACGTCCAAAGCCAAAGATTGGTTTAATCTAGTTTGGATTGAGTAATCGGCGGGTTTTTCTTGAATAAAGTCGTTAGGATTTTGTCCTCCAAGAATCTCAGATTTTAGGGGGTTTTGTACGAATCGGTCCATCACAGATTCATCCGAGCGAAGGTAATCGAAGAGTGGGAGGTTCTGTCGATTTAGTAGCGGTAAACATAGGATTATGAGTGGGAGATTCAGGTTCGACACGTGGGTGACTGAAATCAGCCGAGCCAGATTTGAAGACCGAGGGTTGTTAAAAAAAAGTGTCGTAATCGGAGGTTTATTCACCGCGTTCGAAGGACTTAATTCAACTTGAATCAAGGGACAAGAAGAAATAGGCTCTACAACAACAAATTGTGTTCGATTGTTTGATCTCTATTTGCTTCTTATATAAACATTGACCAACAGGTTATATCTATCTATAAACCTTGCGGAGACAAAGCCAACCCCGCCGGTCCAGTACCGACCTCCTTCCTGGCAGCATCGGCCCTCCCCGAGGGATGTGGGCACCCCCCCTTTAGCAGCTTCGTCACATGTTCCTCCATTGAACCCATAACACCTTCAAGAAGAGCACAAGAAAACAATTAGTATAGAAAACTGAAACAGAACAAAGGAAAGCCGAGGAAGTGACCCGCTACCTAAAAAACGATGAGCCTCTCCCTCCAACCGGCACTCAAGGAGGGCCCTCGTATTGATGCACCTGGTCTCGGTCAGGATCTCCTTATCGATGCCGCGGATGTACTGCTCATCCGGGGTCACACACTTACGAGGGGGAAGATGCCCGACGAAGTTGACCAATTTCTTAAAAGCCAGGCTATCCTCCTCGCCCAGGTGGTTAGGTCAGTAGATAAAACTCTATGTACTCGAGTGAAAGTGCAACTCCATCCACTCTAATGGGAAATGGGACTTGAAGCTCTCCTTGGAATCGTCGTCCATGACGGTAACCTGTCGTCGGAACATTGTATTAACGGCCTCGTCCGTTTCCAGCATCACCACAAACCACCTATCCTTGAATCCCCTAATAGAGTCTGTGTATGCCCAGAAGAGCCTGGTCGGCTGCTTCAGGGAGACCCAGTTATGTCGACCAGCCACAGTCTGCCGCTGCAAGTGGAAGACACAGAAGAACAAGGGTATGGTGGCCCCGAGCTCGAGATAATTGCAGACGATCTCGAATGCACGGAGGAAAGCGAGGGAGTTGGGGTGGAGTTGAGGCGGTGCCAGCATCAAGTGGTCGTACACTCCCTGCTGGAAATTTGTGAACGGCAGACGCATCCCCGCCTCCTTAAACACAAATTCATACATAAGGAATCGGCCCCCGTCATAGCGAGAGCATATATGGTCCAGCTCTCGAGGTTGACATGCTCTAAACTGACGAGGAGCCTCGACCTTTCTATCTTCGATCACGGCAAAAACATCAGAATCATCGAGCACGAACCGAGACATATAGTTGAGGGGTTCGTCCCCGACCCACTCCCCGATCGGCCTGTCCGGAGGATCCACGACGGCCTCATCTTGGCGATCTTCTTCG